ACTGGATTCTACTGCTTGTGATTGAGTGGCAATATCGAAGCAATGTGTACGTGATGCACACGTATAGCAAAAGAGACTGGTCAACTGAAGTACTAAGCAACAATAGGAAGATCCAATTAAGCAACTAAACGAGTCACTAAAAATAACAAATTTCACTGGAATCTTTAAACTAAATTTCAATTTGACTATCAAACTGTAGAAAGTTTATATTTACTAATAGATGTCAACTCTAAAACAAAAAACAGTTGACATTTAAGAATTTCGTCAGTGGTGTGTGTCGAACAATAGAGGAGCTGATATAGCATCAGATCATCAAATGCTGGTTGCCAAGGTGAAATTGAAACTCAGGAAGTACTGGACAATGGGGCGGACAATATCACAAAAGTTCAATACGGCTTTTCTTCGGGATACTGATAAAATCAAAAAATTCAAGATAGTCCTCATCAATAAGTTCCAGGCCTTTCGCGATCAACTCAATGGAGAAGGAAATACTATAGAGACCAACTAAAAAGGAATAAAAGAGGCAATCACTTCAACATGTCATGAGGTTCTGGGCCACTAAAAGCACCATCACAAGGAATGGATCGCTGCAGATACACTGGATAAGATTCAAAATAGGAGGAACAAGAAGGCAGCAATCGATACCAGTCGAACAAGAGCAGAAAAAACCAAGGCACAAGTTGAATACACAGCAGTAAACAAGCAAGTGAAGAGGAACGTCAGGACCGACAAACGTAAATATGTGGAAGATTAAGCACTGATGGCGGAAAAGACTGCAAGAGAAGAAAACATGAGACAACTGTATGACACGACAAAGAAACTTGTTGGAAATTATCGTAAAGCAGAACGACCAGTGAAAATCAAGGAATGCAAGGAATGCAGTCCCACTGAACCTACCCAACATCAAAGTAGCACTCGCGGAACTCTCAATCAATCTTCACCCGTCAACAAATGAAGAAATCAGCATGCCCATTAGACAAATCAAGAGTGGCAAACCAGCAGGATCAAACAACATTCCAGCACAGGTATTGAAAGCAGATTATTAGTAACTGTAAGGATACTCCAAATTCTCTTAAGCATGATTTTGGATGTAAAACAAGTAAAAACTGACTGGAATGGAGGATTTCTGATCAAAATACAGAAGAAAGGCGATTTCAGAAAGTGTGATAACTAGAGGGGCACCACTTTTCTCTCCATACCAGGAAAATTCTTCAACAAGGTATTGTTGAACCGAATAAAGGACTGCGCGGACACCGAAATTCAAGAGCAATAGGCAGGATTCCGTAGGAATCGATAGTGTACTAATCAAATCGCAGCACTACGGATCATTGTGGAACGATCATTTGAATGAAATTCATCACTTTGATCAACTTCATTGACTACGAAAATGCATTTATAGATGTTAACATTTGTTAAATCAACAACAGATTTCGGACAATCCAAAAACGATATATTATGCTACTGACCAATAATAGCACGCCACGTTGGAATTCTAGAAAGTTTCATCATACTCTGAGTGGATAGTACTCTTTGGCCTTTTAGAGCCACTGGAGGCTCCTTGCAGTTCTCCAGAAGCCAGCTCAACACGTCCGTCGAATAAAAATTTTTTCTAGGATCTACTTTCACCTTGATCACTGGGTTGCATCGGCGTCTCAATGTTCTAGTCGTTTTCCTTGTCCTAGAGGTAGTGTGTTCAAAATCGTCGTTGATTTTCAGCAGACTCGTAAAGTACTCAAATATGTTGAGAACCTCAGACTTATACTCGTCGATTATAACGGTGAAATTAAATTAATTATACACTATCACTTAATGCTAAATATACATTATGTGAAACGCTACAATACATACAACCTTACGTTACAACCAAACGCCTACGCCTCACAACAAGCTGCTAATCGATTTTAAAAAAACTTTATTAAGATCTTGAGTCATTTGGGGTTAGACAACGATGGAAGACATGAAAGCACGGTCGTTTCGTTTTAGTATGGACGGATTTCTTAGTAACCTAGTGATTGACAACTTGTGCGCGAGACTATTAGAGAGTGGGTTGGAATCCCGCTGAGCGGGATAGTGTATGCGCAGTGCTGAAGAGTCCAATACTGAGACGAATCGTCCGTCCTGTGACTTCAGGTTTTCTATGGTGCTCTAGTTTCAATTGACTCATGATTTCGAACAGTGATCCTGATACATTACATATTGGACTCACACAATAATTCTTTATTTATTACCATGTCGAAAAGTTATTCCATCAGTCATCATTAAAATACAGGAAAATGACAACGTACGGCCGACTGTTTGAAGAAACACTCAAGGTTTACTTTTAATTTCAAGGCAATGCGAGAGATTATTCAAGTATCTACTACAATAAGACTTCTTTTATTACTAGCTAGTGTTTTCGCCTTCCAGATTTAGAAGGAACACAACAACCATTATACCTACCTTTTATCAAGAATGCTGTGCTATTGCTTACATAGACATAGATCTCAATCAACAAATAATTCGTTACTACTGGTCAACAATGTTTAAAGCTTGAAAGAGTAACTTTCGTACCATACGTTTTGTTAATCTTACGATAATATATATTACACATTAGTAATGTAGCGAACAACAACACGCAAGTGCGAACAACCGAAATCCAGTGTTAGCAACCATCCATGTTTGCTTATAAAGTTTGTTACTGAACATAACATCGAGGCGAAACTGATAGCTTGCACATATGTCAATGAGAGACTGATAGATTACAGCCTTAAACATCAGTGTGAAGATTCAGGTCAACAATATCCAGTGAATTTCATGTTACTTTTGATCCATACAACTTTCCTCATTTGTAAAATCTTGAATGAGTAGTAAAGAACAAATATCACAGCAAATGAACACGAATTTCGTGGATTGACTGATTCAGTGACTTTGATCTGCTATACTGTTATTAATCACTGAGACGAACAACTTTACATAATAATCGACAATGAAAGTGTCTAGAATAAACTGAGTTCAAATTTGGAGTTTGAATAATATGAAAAGATCATATTGTGGAAGATATTGGTATAAACATTGATATTAACGGTTGGATCTGCACACTGAATGAATGCACATTTTCTATTTCTTACAACTTTCAATAATAACTGTAATGATAACAGTAAGATGATGGTGATGATGATATTTATGTTCAGTGAACTATCAGCAATGATGAGCCAAGGGTGATAGACTTCCACGACTAATTATTGTTTAAGAAATCCGTTTCATTATCAACATGAAATAGGTGAATTTGACCTACATAATCCTGCTGTGTTGGGTTCACCGTAGTCAGCTGTACACTAAGTGAAGTGTTGATTTATTCATGATTAGTAACGTTCGTTTACAAGTCAAGCTATTTGCGACTGCTATTAGGAAAATCGTTAGCGTCATACCACATTTCATTACAGCTTGTTAGGATTTATGGAATAATCGACTTGACGTAGTCATGATGTAGTCATATCAATTGATAAGAATTCTCTCACAATACTGATTGCTAAAAGCATTTTAGTTATCTAAGCGACATGAACTCTGAATGTTTATTTGAAATATTCTTAAGGGATTGGGTGAACTTCTTATGGTGAACATCAACTCGAATGATCTCTTCATGAAATGAACACAAATGATGCTTAACCAACATGACACGGAAAAGAGTAATCAAGTAGAAAATAACCTTCAGTTTAGAGTACTCATATCTGGTGGTTTTTTCGGCATGTTTATTTCTAGTTGAGAATTGTTTTGTTTTTGTATTCAATAGAATGAACCTTATTATTTGAAATGCTACCTGATGGATGGGGGAATACTCAACTAGTGAATATCTTATACGTCCACTTATTAAACTCAATTAACTACTTCTCCTCCACAGATTATTACTGATATTCTCTATCATAGAAATCGAACTGTTCAATTACTGATTACTTTGATCATAGAAATCAAAATGTTTAATCACACTTAATATTAGGAAAATGAACAAATGGAATTCAGTGAATGGATTTGATGACATTTTCATCATTATTCAATACTGTAATACTGATAATTGACTATTCATTCATTAGATAGATAGAATAATGATTTCGTGATTAGAAATGGTTGAATTAGTTAACGTAATCATAGGACATTTCGGTTAAGCATATCGTCCCTCAAGATAACACATACGTCTTACTGAAGACGGCGCATTGACATTAAATCTAGGTTTAGGTTTCCTCAACGACCTACTGCAACAATCACATTACATATGTATATTCTTGGTGTACAAGATGTGTCGATTTTGACCACAGAGACTAATCATATTATTAGGGAATAGAAATATATGGTGTCTTATCTGACATACATACTCTGTAGAGACTCCATTCAATTATTGAGATTATCGGGTCTATAAGATCATTGATTATTTTCATTTCAAAGTGCTATTACGTAATCGTTCTCAATGAGCTAACAGTTAAATTGGTTTGTTGCATTTCTTTTTAAATTTGTGTTTTGAATGCTTATTTTCTTGGCTTCTTAGTGCTAACTTTTGTATCAGGTTATCGCTGATTTTTATGTCGAAGACGCCGACCACTTTTCCCTGGAACGAGGGACCTCAGCACTTCGCACGACACGAATCTAAGTACACAAAGACTGGTATAGGTAGTGATTTATTTACCCAAAAACACTACGACGACGAAGACAACTTTGGCAGAAAATACACTCATTTGTATACTGATTGTACACCTATTTTGATTAATAATTATAATGAAATCACATAGTGAGCAAAGTTCATGTCGCATAATATACAGAATAAAATATCACCCGAGAAAAAAGAACAAATATTACATTGGGTAATTATAACTTGTAATCAAAACGGAAGTAATTTTGAACAAAAACTCATAATGAGTAAATCAAATCGTAAATCGAATGTTGTTTCTATTAAATCAATTTGTAACCAAATCACAAAGTTCCATAAAGCGATTGATGAATTTCATTATAAATTTTTGTATTTTTATTGAATCATTATTAATACTGAACACTCGAATAATTTCATGTAAGTTTATCAACTTCTATCAAAGTGTATGAATTAACCATGAGTTTAGATTTGTTGATAAGTTTTATTAAAAGTATCATTGATCTCTTATCAGGAGGTCCACTTATCGACTTAGAATACGCAGATGGCATAGTTTTGTTTGGTGCAGACGCTGATAAAATTGAGAGTATTTTGGTAGCAGGGAGCAACAATGCCAGAATAATTGATATGCACTTCTTTCCAGGAATGGCCATCGTCAACACCTGAACTCAAAGAAGTATGGTCTACTGTGATATTAGTACTGCTCTAATAATAGACCTTATCCTAAAATTGTAGACTTTTCATGATAATAACTGCCTAATCTATAAGATCTTACGTGGAAGTAACACCATCGTATACGCCAACTCACTGTATCTTAGCAATTATCAATACATGATGGAGAACAAGCTTAGGCTAGAGATAAAACAATATATTTAATATGAATAAAAGATATGAGGTAACATTCCGCAGAGATCATGATTGTATGGCCGAGTCATGACATTCGATCAACCTTAGTCAATTCAATTGCTTGCTCCCGCCTTTTTCCACTATTCGGTATTTCTCCGCGTTAAATATTGAAAATCTTTTTTCCGAGTAGTCTCTCTCTCCTTTGAGTATTGTTTAGTTATGGTTCAATGCCACTACAAACTAAAGACAAGGAGTGAAGTAGTCGAACGCGTTGGCAACTCCACTTATCTTGAAAGTCTGATCAGCCCTAATGGGTTGTTGTCTGACAAAATCTCAATTCGGATTCGAAAATCTCGTTCAGCATTTGCCAACTTACATCACTTTTAGCGAAGGCAAGATATTCGTCAATCAATAAAAGAACGATTACGCTGCGCTGCAGTCCGTTCTGTTTTATTAAACGGCTGCAAAATGTGGTCGTTAAGAGTAAAAGATAACGTAAACAGCAATATAATAGTTTTATTGACAATTATTTATTTGGATGAATGCATTAGTCATTATTAATTATCTTCACTAGATTGAGTGCGCTAACGTTAATGACTTTAAGTCACCTTATGCAGTGAGCAGCTAACATGAATCTGATGAGATCAATTTTCATCGGCTTTCCGTGTTTTTTATTAATCGCCTAAACATGATACAGCGAACGAGTCATATGGAATTCAAGTCCTGTCCATTAATCCAAACTTGTTGAAAAACAATGAATGAGTAGAGAAATGGGCATGTAAATGAATATTTAAGGTTTTATGTAATCCATCAACTTGATTATCTCCATTACTGTATTGTTGTGAATTCTTACTTATTTCAGTTGAAGTTGGAATTAGTGATTGTGGTAGGTGAATTTCCAAATGTGGATTGTTGATGAATCTCCATTAAAGATAATTAAACCATGATGGAATTGACAGTTGTCAACGCGTCAATGGTAACCAATCAGACAAATTCTACTTCTATGTAAGTCATTTATCATTCCATTTGACAACCTCAGCCTCCAAAGTCTTGGTAATGTATCAAATATAACCTGTAAGAAAAATTCTACTTGCATGTAGGTCAGTTATCATTCCACTTCACAGATTCAGCTTTCTTTGTTATTCAGAACCAGTTGTTCTCAGTGGTTTCATTTTAACGTAAGTAAAATATGTTTTAAATACAGTTTTGTACCCGAAAATCCTAACGATATTTTTCCATGCATTACTATTACGTATTATTCAAGGAACTGATTATAACACTTTGATGAGAAATTCGATCCATGTTTGACAAGAATATTATGATTGAAGGAGATATATAAAGGTCATTTGTTTCCCAGTGGAAAGCATTTTCATTTTGTGTTACATCACATAACAATAAATGATCATATTGAAATGTAATTATGTATTTCAACAGTTGAGATCATGAGTCAATTGAAGCTAGACCACCATGGTAAACCCGGGAGCACTGGACGGCCGTTTCTTCCTATTGTAGGATTTCTCAGCAATGCGCATCCACGAAATCGCCTCGCGTGATTCGAATCCAGTACCTATCACTTTCGCGCCACTGTTCACTACTTCTCCGGGATATACAAGGTCTGTTGTGTGTTATTAACTCACTGAAGACAATGGTCGTAGTGTTGCTCAATTTTGTTAATTAGTTGAAGTTAGATATTAACACCGATGGATGCCGGCTCAGTGGTCTAGTTTGTTAAGCGCCTGGCATGAAACTGATGGGTCCTGGGTTCGAATTCCCCGAGGCGGGGTCGTGGACGCGCACTGCTGAGGAGTCCCACAACAGGACGAAACGGCCGTTCACTGATTCGTGGTTTTCCATGGTGGTCTAGCTTCGATTGACTCATGATCTCAACTTTTGAAATTACTACAACCTCCACAAAACCCTTTCTGATATTAATGTATTTATTTATTTCAACTCAAATATTAGTACAAAGAGTCAGGGAATACATATGCGCCACACAAGTCACTTGACGTGTGTGTGGGCTGTGATATTGTCCGGATGATCAGACTGAAGCTGGTGGTTTTGTTAAGCGGTTACACTCGAAGTCACACGGCATCGTCACCCGATGCGATCCCATGGCAGCCGGTGGCCGATAATTGGCTCATATGCCATTTGTTTCCTTAATATTGTGGAGCTCATGTACATAAATGATTTGGAATCAAGGTTTTCCAACTTGCGTTAATGGATTCCGCATATTTACTAACCCGGTCAAGGCGGCGGAGATTCGCTTTTTATCCTCGCAGTTTCTTATACAACGATCCCGCCATAAAAAGGCAGTGATTAAATCGTCCATGGTGGAGACTGTATATGCGTGTCTATTTGTGAGCATTTCGAGAGGGAGAGCTAATTCTTTCCACCATCGGCCGTACCAGGGCATTTGGGTGATGAAATAAAATAATCAAGAGATCATTCCTTAGCTATTCCACTATTCAGTTATTTTGACAAGTTTTACAAACATTTAAAAATATCGAAATGAAAAGTTGAGCAACTTATTCAACCATTTTATGCATAAAGATTGTGTAGAACATTTGATACATATTACTATGCTCTGTTGTATCTGTGTGTTTAGTATGTTGTACACACATTTTCATTGATATTTCAGATCTATAGGTTTACTTATTGGACTAGTAATCATATTTATTAAGAAACTACATTCTACATCCATAATGAACAGTATCTTCATGGCTATAACGGTCAGTTGACTGGTTTTAATATTACGTTCATGATAGTTTCATTTAACTATCGATTGAATTCAGTTTATTGTTGTTTGTTGAATAATAAAACAATGTTGTGATGTCAGTTTGATAACGGTTATCAGGATCAACTGATCTTTGAAGGTTGACTTGAATAAATGAGTTTGAACGTTGTATTTCATTTTAAGATGACATCATGTGTTAACGCCGAATTTCTATAGTTTCACTGACTTCATAAAAGCGTTGACTTATATTGATTATCCGTTCGGATCATGAGCTATTACTTAACTGATAACTGGCGAAAATAATATAACATTAAAAGGTATCTGTATATGTTGTGGACAATTCAGAAATGAGTAGACATGGTTACACTTATTACCGGTACATTCTACTCTCATCTACGTATGTTGTTATAACCATTTGCAAGATATGGAATGAGTTGTGAACACAGAACAACGACCAAACATATTGGGTTTGTGTCATTTTCATTCGTATGATCATCCACACACTTTGTCTATCACTGAACTTATGTTATATGATACACACGTAAGCACTGAGTTCTTCAAGTCGCAGACGCATTACTAGCTGCCGTAAATTTTGGTCTATACAAATTGGTATATTCCATACTTTTTCGGTGAGAAACCTGATATAAAATGGCCACGTGTAATGGTTGAACGAATCCGCCTTGGATATATTTTAAGTTTATCACTATGATAGACATGGATAGGAATTCCTTGTTATGTGCTTGTATCCATAACTATTCATTGTTAAGCATTTCAATCAAATGCAGGAGAGTGAAGATTACTTTTTCATTATTTGTCCAATAGTTGACCGATTCAACTTTTAAACTAATGGTAATTAATCTGATGATATTACTTTTTCCCTATTCAGTTGATAATTATGATTATCGGTGTTGGATTACTAAATTCACGAACACAATGGTATGAAATAGTTATCTCTGTAACTGTGGATACCACGTTGGTCAGCTTAGCGATTTTATTGGGTGTAAAGCTACAAGTTCGAAAGAGAAAATTGGCGATAATTTTATTCTCGATGTGGTGTGTGTTTGGGGTACTTGGAATCATTCTATTGATTATAGGGGTGGCACTTAACGAAGTAAGTTTATCTAATCAGAGATTTTTACCAAACTAATAGTAATTAGTGATTATTATTGATTTGCTAATGATTTACTCGAATAGCTACAGTTTTCACAACAAAATACGCTGATCGTGAATACCGGTGAAACGTTTCTGTTATAGTCCGAAGCCGTCAATCAGAAGCAGCGAGTTGTCGATCGGACCAAGGACGCCTAAAACACGTGCGAGCAGCCGACAGTCCTGATTAGTCCTCTTTCCGCCTATCCTAGCCCATGCATTTAAGTCCAGAACACCAGTCTCAATTTCTGCAATATGAATCATGTATTACAAATATACTCTGTTTATATAACAATCAAACTGTCCACATCGTACGATAAAATAGAAAATGACATTTGTACAAGTTTTGGTCAAAAGTGGCTGTGAGAATGGGAGATAGTAATTGGTAGACAGGGAATAACTCAAGAATGGTTAAAATAAAGGTTATGATAAGAGAGACATGAATATGAATAGTTTAGGTAATTAACAATTATACGATAAAAATATACGCACAGTTTGGTCCATATCTGGATCCCAAAGTAACCGTTCATTATTCTTATCCGGGTATAACAGTTTCCCAAACCAAAACAGAAATACATTTTCAATTTATATTTCTTTGGGGAATATTCCAAGCAAATCTTTGTTTTCTAATACATGTTCAACAAATTTGAACGTTTATCCACATCATTTTGCTGCCATAGTGAATATTTCAATGTTTTCTATCAACCATGATACTTTCATCAAGTTACTCACTAACTTACTTATGTCCGCCTGTTACTCTCAGTGGAGTATAGGTCACTTTCCAGCATTATACAACCAACTCTGTCCTGAGCCTTCCTTTCTAGTTCAACCCAATTTTTGTTATTTCTTCTCATGTCTATCACAATGTCTTGGAGTAATGTGTTCTTTGGTCTTCCACTTCGTCTTTGGCCTTGATGATTCCAGATGAGGGCTTGCATTGAGACGCAGATGTGTGTCGTATCCACTTCCAGCGCTTCATCTTGATTTTTCTTTGCCAGGGTAGGTTGTTGCTGATAATGTAGTGTTTGGCTAAAGTATCCGAAGTATTTTTTTGTTATTAGGCACCTAAATCTTCTGGATGATGGCTTTCGTAGTTCTCCAAGTTTCTGTAGCGCACAGTGAAACTGTACAGACATTTGTATTGAAAGTCCCGACCATTGTGTTGGTTAACAGACAATCGTTTTCAGTTACAGATGTTCTTCATTTGTGAATATGGTGCTCTCGCTTTGCCGACATGAGCCTTCATATCTGCATCAGATTCTCCGCGTTTATCAAAGATGCTGCCTAAATATGTAAAGGTTTTTACATCTTCCAAATCTTTTCCGTCAAGTGTGACTGGATTGGTGCATGCTGTGTTTGTTGTATGGGAGAGTCTTGCTTTTCCCTTTGTCTCTTCTGAGACCTACTGCTGTCGAGGCTGCTGATACACTGGTCGTCTTCTCCTGCGATAGAAGAGCCAGATCATCCGTGAAGTCTAGATCGTCGAACTGCATCCTAGATGTACACTGTATGCCGTGCTTCCCTTCAAATGTTGACGTTTTCATGATCCAGTCAATCACCAGGAGAAAGAGAAAGGGTGAGAGTGAACAACCTTGCCTGACAACGGTCTTTACTTCGAACAATTCTGTAGGCTGTATTTCATCCACGATTCTCCAGCTTAATCCATCATATGAATTCTGTATGATATTGACTATATTCTGAGGCACGCCGTAGTGTTGAAGAAGCTTCCGTAGTGTTGTTCTGTCCACACTATCATGTGCTTCCTCATAGTCAATGAAGTTGATGTAGAGTGATGAATTTCATTCTATTGATTGTTCCACAATAATCCGTGATGTTGCGATTTGGTTTGTACACGATCTATCCTTACGGAATCTTGCCTGTTGATCACGAAATTGGTCGTCTATGCAGTCCTTTATCCTGTTTAACAACACCATGTTGAAGAATTTTCCAGGTATTGAGAGAAGAGTAAGCCCCTGTAGTTATCACGGATGTTGAGATCGTCTTTCTTCTGTATTTTGATCAGATGTCCTTCTTTCGAATGGTATTGATTGCTGCTTTCTTGTTCCTTCTTTCTTGAATCTTATCCGGTGTATCTGCAGTGATCCATTCATTGTGATGATGCTCCTTGTGGCCCAGAACCTCATGACATGTTGGAATGATTGCCTCTTTCATCCCCTTCCAGTTACTCTCCATAGTAGTTCCTTCTCCATTAAGTAGATCGTGAATAACCTGGAACATACTGCTGAAAGCTATCTTGAATTCATCGAGTTTGTCGGTATTCTGATGTTGTCCGCTCCGTTGTCCAATGCTTCTTGAGTTTCACTCTCATCTTGGCGACCAGCAAGCGATGATCTGAGATTATATCAGCTCTTCTCTTAATTTTCACATCCTCCAACATCGTCACGAACTTTTTGTCGATGTTGACATAGTCGATTTGGGGGGGGGTGTTGTGTGATCCGGTGAAGTCCATGTGGTATTGTGTATGCGTTTGTGCGGGAATATAGTGCCGTCTATGACCAGTTCATTGAAGGCACATTAGTTTGGGAATCTCTTATCATTTTCGTTCCTTTCGCCCAGTCCATGTCATCTCATGATGTCTTCACATAAGGTGTCGTCCATTCCAACCTTGACGTTAGGTCTCTGTGATATTAAGAAGTATTTGAATTATAGTATGAAATAAGATTACCAGAAATAACGCAGTCAGATCAAAAAGTACTAGACAATCACGAACGAATGTACTGTATTTAAAATTTGAAATCAAGCATACAACATGTACAAAGGAATCAGTAGTTCATTCATATACCACATCCGCCACAGCTTAAATTGGAGTCTAGGTGTCTGTAATCAATTCTACGTCTTCTTCTCAAGTTCACCCTATATCTGTCGGACTGTGTATTGGATAAGGACTCTATATTATCTAGAATGTACTCATTAGCATTAGAATTAACACCTGAAATTGGAACTGACTCACCTGGTTCCTAAAATTGTATTTGATCAACGTGTCGATTGTGTGTACTTAAGTCACTGATATCTAGAATTCGCACCATCGATTTCCCGACATTCTTCAGGACTAACAAACAGTCCGAAGTATTAACAGGTCTATCTTGTAATGAATTTCGAGAAATGTAGTCAATTTGTTGAATTTGTTTGGCACTTCTGTGCTAAACCGCATATTCATATGCACTCATAGCAATGATCCATCGTTGTACCATAGCAACTTAGGAACGTGCCAAGGATTTTTCAGGATCAGTAACATGAGTAAATTTCTTTCCGAATAAATAATTATGAAGTCTTTTAACAGCCCAAAACAAAGCTATTGCTTCTCGCTGTGTCTGTGAATAATCTTGTTCAGTAACAGTAAGTTTGCGCGAAACACAAATAACTGGTCTCCCATCCTGTTCCGAAACTGCACCAATCCCCACAGCTGATGCATCAGTAATAAACACAATGTACACTAGGGGAGTACGTTCGAAGAACAGCATCACCTTGAAGAAACTTTAGTAGACTACCTAAGCATGACTCTTGTTCCTCACCCCCATTTGAATGAATTGGATGTCAAAATATTAAATAAACAATTTGCACAACAAGAAAAATTAGGAATAAAACGGTAATAGTATTGAAGAGCACCCACTGGTGAACGTAATTCCGTATGGCTTTTTGGAGACGGGGCATTTGTCAGTAGATCAAGACGTTTTTAATATGGTCTAAACACATTACCATCAACTGGGTATCCAAGGCATTCAAAACTAGAAACACAAAATGAACACTTATTTGAATTCACTGTAACATTCTTCTCAATTAAACGACGCAACAAAGAAATAAGTCTCTGGTCATGAACTAACTTATCAGAACCATGAACAATGAAATCATATTGATAAACTTGAACGCTTTCAGGATCACTAACTACTTTATTCATAACTTTCTGAAATATGACTGGAGAACAACTTACACCAGATGGAAAAAAATTGTATTTGAACAGACCAAACGGAGTGTTAATTGTCGTCAAAATAGATGAAGATTGAAGATAAGGATCATTTAGGTCAACTTTCGAGAACACTTTAGAACCATGAAGTCGATTTAGAATATCTTCAGCCTCTACCGTCGTGCATGTTTGCTTCAATAAAATTTCCACATGAACTAAAACTAGTAAACATCTGCAATCGGTTGTGCGGTTCATACTGTATGTTGTTGATACAAAGCATCATGAAATAATATTATCATTTGAGATATTGATTCTCATTACTACTTATATACGTATGATTGTGTAACAAAATGGTAATTATACCGAAACCAGAACAATACATCTTCAGTCAATGATTTCATATTCTTAAAATCACTAACTTGAATGTTTCATGATACTGTCATTAAAGAAACCAATTCGTTGTTTAGACAACTGTCAAGCATGAAACAGGGTGGATAAATGATGTTGAAATTCAGGATAACAGACTGACTGAACTCTTACATGACGTCAATTAGTCATTCAGCTACATGTTAGTTTAAAATCAGTTGAGTTAATTAGTAGAATAATACTATTTCTTCACTGATACTGATGTTGATACATGATGAATTGAAGTGAATTGTTTTCTTTTATTTGTTTCAGCATTATGTACTAGATACATGCTGGATTAGTTGGTGCTGTGCAATGTTAATTGTAAGTCCTGAATAAATAATAAAATGTAAATACAAATAATCGGCCGTTGATCAATATGCATTCCAAGATGTTGTTCTGTAGAAATTAGGACTTTAAGGCATTAATGTTTTCAAACCAGAGCACTTAACAAGAATTCATCATGAAGCATCTTGAAGGATGGCTGAAAGCAAGACATTGAGTGGTGAAGTATTATCGCTTAGTTCGTTTCTTTAGTTGAATGACTCAAGAATTGACAGATCGAAATACCAGACACTTACTGTTCATTTGTTATGCATGAATGTTTAGAAATTATCAAGTTGTTAACCCTATATCTGTAAATGCCTATTATTTCACTGATACATTTGTTGATATGAATACATTAATAGTGAAATAATCAATTGAAGCTAGACCACCATGGAAAACCTGAGATGACTGGAAAACAGTTCCGTAGTATCGTAGGACTCCTCTGTAGCAGTGCGCATCCACGATCCCACCTCTCGAGATTCGAACACAAAACCTATCGATCTCGCGAGCAAACTATTATGATACTAATACAATATCCACAAAACTCCCTTTTGATACTAATGAATTATTCATCTACGTCTTGATTATTATAGGTGATTGTATACACAGCATATTATTTGTGTAGATCTAGTGAAGAAGAACAGTCTCGTGTTATATACATTATTTTCTTATGGTCTTATGAATATGTCGCCCTAATTATCGTTTCACAATTTAGTTTAAATTCATTCATCGATTGTTATTGGCCAAAACAGTGGATGAGACAATGATTGAACATGATGAATAGATGTTATTCCATTGAACGTTTTTATATTTTTGAAGATTATTGTAAACAGCTCTGTTATTTATAATAGATGTTCTATTAAACAGACGTTCGCCTCTTGGATTAAGTTTCTGTATAAAAGATATTCGTTTAAACGTCAAACACATATTGAAGCACATTTCGTATGTACTTGAAATTACAACAAACCAAACTGACTGAGGTGATTTGTTCAACGATCGTATTTCACAAAGACACACGTTTCATGACATCGACAAATAACGTAGTTTTGAGTGATTGGTTTTGTAAGTTTGACACTGTTCAGGATGGATCAGTCAGTCAATCAGTCAAAACGTACGTCCATATGTATGCATCCATTCATAGAACTAGTAACTTCAATGTTCGTAATATATGAAAGAAAGATTGTATAATGGGACATAGCACAGAAAGAAAGAATTAGTTGGTAGGAAGGAAGATGTGAATCGATTTTAATCTCATATTTTAAGGGACGACAGAAAGTGTATAGACCAACACCATGTGCACACAAACCAAGTGCATAATGGTTTCGATTGGTCCTCTAGACAACATTGACCGCGCTAATTACAACTAGAAGTAGGCCAAGGAAATTTATTGTCTTATTAGAAGCATATAGTGTCTTTCGAACTGAACATTCACTGTTTGGATACAATTACATCTAGCTAATGAGTTCCAAATGGGATGAAACTAACTTGCTGAATTCCACTGCTAAACGCACCACATCTATTCTATAAACACTTATGACAACGAGTATACCTAAGTAATTTGAATAGGATTTGCATATACTAACTAAGTCTGATCAAAGTCCAGTGAATATATAAACCACGGAATGATCCAAGCAATTACAATTTGAATTAGAATCGATGGGAGTTTAAATATATAGTCTATATATTGAATGCAAATAAAACCTTCACGGTGTGCCCATCACCGACAACCATATAAAGCTGAAAAAATGACCTTCGAAATTTTCCTACCACGTTTATGTATACAAAGGTATTTTGTTCATTTCTTTTCCGTACCATATCCTTCACAAACTATCGGCAACAAAAATGACCACTTATTGCAGCCCAATAATTTGGATAGTATTTTGGATAATATCATATCCACAGTTACGTTCATCATTTAATTTTATCCTCATCTCACACATTACTCACATGACGTCCTTGTTTTGTCTTTAGGAACGCAATCCAGGACATAAGTTTTATCGTATTTGGAACTTGTCAGCCAGTTGCGTATGCATCTTGATGTTGATGTTCACACTAAGACTCAAACTCAGTCCTTATCGTTTTAAACACTTAAAGTTTATAAACTTCACTAGTGACACTATATAGCCATCAACCTGTTCAAAGTATTGTTAAAGGTTTGTTATTTCCCACTGTCTATTTGTTCGCAATTAATTGGTCTCTTGTGCCATTTGTTCGTCCTGAGCGGATTACCTCGACATAACTAATTAGAGATTCAGGTACTCAGATATTTTGATTATGTAACGTATTAGTGGTTCATTCATTTCGTTATTTCTCTATCTCTTAAACACACATACACACCAAACATGTATATTTGTTTAAATTTTGATTCATCGATAATGAGACTATTTAAAACTAGTGATAAAGTCCACAAGTAATCAAATGTATCAGAAGGGTTTATTAGAATACTATAGTCATTTCAGCGGTTGAGATCATGAGTCAACTGAAGTTGGACCACCATGGAAAACGTAAAAGAAAACCATGGTGGTCTAGCATCAATCGACTCATGATCTCAACAATGTTTATTACACATAATGCCTAAAATATTCATTATGAGGGTTGTTTACACTTTAGCATAAAGTATGTCGTGTTATAATTCGTCATGACTAAATGATAAACTTCATTATCCTAGATTTTGTGCTATTTACAACTGATTGATCGATAAGTAATGGCCAATCTAATGTTTGTATAGTTCTTCAATGCAAATCGAATCTTATCAATCAATTTATTGTGTGTTCATTTGTGCAATTGAAGATAACTAACAGGGAAACCCTGAAATTTGTTATATTGATATTCTACACTGATCAGAAGACATGGGACTGATTCTACCTAATGGATTCGGATTCGTATCATATAACTTAACGGTCTGAGATGTCGCCACTGAACTGTTCAGACAACCAATGGCCCTGTGTTGGACTAAAATATTTTCGTAGTGCTTCATGATGCATATGATATTTGATCAATGTCATGTTTGATCGATCAGTACTGAATAATTAGAGGAAAATGATTTTATAAATAGCAAGGAAATATTGATTTTGAGTAATCTTGATTCAATTGAACAATTGATCGTATTTAATGGATCGCTAACAAGTTGATCGTAAAATTTTAATTCCTTATTCATTCAGTATATTTGATGAATCTTCGGTGAACGTTACTGCGGTCTAAAGTACCAGTTTTTATACTACACAGTTGGAAAATATTTTATTTGTGTTATGAGTTTAAAACATTAGGAAGCGTTGTTCATGAACTGTTGTTGCATTAGGTAATCAAAGATAAGCTTGATTGTATATTTATCTATCTTGTATCAAGTGAGGGGGGTATACAATACGTGGTAAGATGTTTGATCTATTCATGAACATTCTAATCTGTTTTATTAAAGGCTAAAGAGGCTAAATCATAGTATTTTGAATCAGGTCTGAATCTGTGCTGGACAAGTAGTGTTGTTTTGACTTGTGTTGTCAAATAAATCCTCAAAAGAAGTAAGTAGCTTAACGAGCCATAGACAATGATAATGATCTTATTAAATTTATTGAACACTCTCCTAACTTAAAGAGATTGATCGAGCATTCGCATTAGATCCTGTTTAGACATACTGTACTACCGGTCTCCGACAATCAGAAGTTAACTTATATTTCATAAATTACATTACATCAACTATCGGTTCAAATTCTCTTTCATCACATGCCATTATTCTTGAATTCCGCTTTCTTTTTGACCATATGATGAATGTGTAAAAAATATGTAAGACGGTAGTGTTATCAAACCGAGAGTATCTTTGACTTCTTCAAACTAGACAATTCGCTAATATACAAAGCCTACACAAGACCCTATGATACCTAAAAAAATTAATTTATTCTCAAATAACAGTTTGTTACATGAAGCATGCCAGTTTACAGGCAAGATCAAATAGTTACAAATAATACAATATCCACTGTAGTAAATGACTTAGCTGAGTTGATAATTTATAAGATATGAATGTAGATGATTTTAGTCAGTATCACATTTGGCGCGCTTCGTGAAAGTTGCGTTGCAAATGTGCAAATGATTGTCAGGGATAGATCCATTGAAGGTGGGAGCTTCTAGAATTCGCAACCTTATGTCCCTTTGTAATATCTAAGGCTTTAAGGACGGTGCAGGATGAAGTCACCAGTTCCATATCTCAAGAGGGCTGAAAGAAAGTGCAAGAAAATGAAAGGGCAAAAGGCAAAGTAGCCAATTTTTATGAAAGAAAAGTGAAGGTATGGCTACTCAGTCTAATTTTCTTTTTATGGAGTATTTACTAAGCAAGAGCATCCTAATAGGGTAAAGAAAATAAGTGTGGACAATATATGAGTGGATAAACAGCTGACAAACGGAAGTGGTTCAGAAAGGAGCTGAGAGTATGGGATTATGTGTAGTTATAAAATATAGTGCTAAAAACAGTACTGTGATACACAACTGCCTATCTCCTTTTTATTTTCGAAGATGTTGGAGCCTTTTTATTTATTTGTTTATTTATTTTTATAGATTTCATAGGGTCTTGAATAGGCTTTGTAATTTAGTGAACTGTCTAGTTTGCTTGTAAATAGGATCACTGTATAGGAAATGAAACCCATTCAACGTTCTAAACTAGATTTACTGAAGCATTTTTGCATGATAAATCAGCATCAATACCAAAAGTTCCTGACATCCCACTAAACCATAAGGAGCCGTAATTAAACAAAATATTCTGCCCTATAGACACGGGTGGATTGAAGTTATCTCCCCACCATCATGTTTGCTGGTCAGTAACGCCACCCTCCCTCCTTTTATGGTGTTAGGCTCTCTTACGTTTGTGGTAAGTATGAATACTGCTTTAATCAAAGTCCACTGTCTCTACTAGCTACTTGTTACAAGCAAATCAGATAGTTTTAGAATTTGTATTATGGGTTAGATGTCCATTTATAATATCACATTGCTATTAAAATAACTAATGGTTTAGAGAAAGTAAAGACTAATAGCAGATCAAAGGACATGAGAGGGTATAAAATTGTAGAAAAAAAATTTCAGGGTAAGAAAAATAAGACATTGAGAAACCCACAAGACTTTGTGGCCAAATTTCGAGCTTTGTATGATCGTCCTTAATAGATCAGCATCCATAAGATTAGTGAGTTATCTGTCTACTTGCAATTGAAAAAAAGCATGACTTTTAGGAAGAATAATGAAAATTTCGCCTGTAGAGATTGGGGAACTAAAAGCTAGGGTTAGGAGCATAAGGCCATGATTAATAAACAATGAATAATAGGAAAGGATAAGCCATATATTCTGTAATTTGGTTATATTCATATTAGTAACAGTCAAACTTGTTATAATCTTGTTCTTTCTAGATACTAGGCGGTCCGTAATAAACTGCCTCATTGGTGGGCGAAGGTTCAAGAAATGTTGAAGCTCTTTGGAGTCTAGAAATAGTGTTATTAGCTTTTTGAATTTGGTAAGCGTATCACAGTTACGGATAGGCATTGGCATCCTGTTCCACAATAAACTATACCGTACTGTAAAAAACTTACAACGCATTTGTTTTTGGTGTTTTACGGTAAGTAATGTATATGCGTTGTTTCTAAGTCTATAGGCTGGTTCGTGGGTGATAGTCGGGCAGGAGGTTTGAAAGGAGAGCCCATATATCGCTTTGTAAAGAAATATTAAATTGTTCTTTAGCCTACGGTGCCATAAGGGTTCTAAAGAGAGGTGCTCACATCTATCTGTGTAATCAAGATTCGAGTTACATCTTAGTAGTTGACGTGTGAAACGTCTTTGAACATCTCCAACTCTTAACTTGTCTGTGATATTCATATTAGAGAAGACAAAAGAGCAGTATTCAAGGGAGAGTCGTACACATATTTTGTAGAGAGTAAGTTTACCCTCTGTTGTGGAAAAGTTTTTCATTATAAAACCAATTAGCCGTCTAGATTTAGAAATAATAGAGGAGGCATGTTCTTCAAAGTTCAAACTTCCTGTGTAATTAACTTCGAATCCGTAACCTGATTCGAGTGCTTGAACTCAACTATTATTTAAGTGATGTTGCGGTTTATAGAGATGCTTTCCAAGGGTTTGAGTTACGTCCTAGTAGTTGACGTGTGAAACGTCTTTGAACACCTTCAACTCTTATCTTGTCTGTGATATTCATATGAGTGAAGACAAAAGAGCAATATTCATAATTTATATCCTATCCATTTCCATCGACTTTTCCTAATTTCTTCTTCAATTAGAAGCTAGTTTGTTCTCTCCCATAAAAAGCTGTTGCTGATGGATGTTTAGTTTCTTGCGTAGACAGCTATTTATAAATACTTGTACCTTCTTGATAGTGGTTGTTGTAGTTCCCCAGGTTTCCGCTACGTACAGTAGAACTGCAATAGATTTAAAAAAATTGTAGATAAAAGCAAGAAATTGTGGAAAACCATATCATTTTACTGATTCAACTGATTCAGTTATAGAAATGGATGGATCCCGCTTCAAATACATTTTCAATAGTTGAGATCTATTGTGAGAATCCTGCCTCGCGAGATTCAAAACTAAGTCCTATCAGTCTCACTCACGAGCGTTTAACCGCTAAACCACTGAACTTATCGGCATCACAATGTCTAGCTTGCTTAAACTTTGTGCTATCATATATATATATATATATATATATATATATATATATATATATATATATATATATATATATTGCTCAAAAGATATCATACTCAGTATGTTATTTATGTGGCTTCTCAAATCATATGAAAGACATCACACTTTGTTTTTTTTATAAGAGCCTTAGATTAAAGATGATTATACGGCAAAAGTGAACACGCGTTTTTTCAATGCTCGTTGGAATTAAAACTAAATCCTTCAATATTTTAAATGATATTCCTTTCTGCATTCCAATATCATTACCAATAACATATTTGGTGTTAGATCTGTCAAAGCGTCCAAGTCACGCGATTGAGATACGCGCAAAACCGAAGTTTCCAAAACAACGATTTGTCTACAACAGTGGTTTTTTATTAAATAATTCACAAAATTTAGTTACAAATCCCAACTTATGAAGTGTCTGGGGAGTTTAAACGCGTCCTGCAGCTATGAAAATAAAAGGCTTCCTGTAACAGTAACGTAAAGAATAATTATAACACACAATAGTACAAAAGACAGCTGATAGCTGAGTTTAAACTTGATAAACATTTATGAACAACCCGAACCCGAACCGAGAGCAAAACAATATGAAAACTGTTGCGTTTAAACAAATACACAGACTGTGTATAACCGTTACAGTGATTAAGATGCAGAGATTATAATGATAAATACAATAAACATTATAAGTATATGTGAATATTTCAGAATATTACAGCAGAACTTGCTCTACAACATAAGTGCGAAAATTGTTGGGAATACAACTGCTTACTGAATGTAAATAAGTAGGATAAAACAATATAAAAGAGTGAAAAGGGAGAAATTAGGGACAATGTAAGACAAACTTAACACTAGTTGTTCATCCCTAATAAATGAAATAAATCGAAAAAAACTATGTCAAATTCATTATGTTACGAATAACATGATTAACAGATATTTTAGATATCTGTCCAATCGATTTTGTATTTACTTCTCTTCACAGGGTTCTGATGTCTTTGTAGTACCGTTAATTTTTATTGGAAAGATTGATTAACTATTACTTGAATTTATTGATAATCTGGATTGATATAATCTAACTGAAAATTCTCTTAATTGTGATAGAAGAATGTTTACATTCCTGGAATCTCAATTAATAATAATTACTACATTCCTATGTTCAAATTTATGTCCTGAAAGGGCTGCATAAATGCACTGATATGAAGGATAGCATATTAGTATAGTTTGGTTAGTTACTTACATACTCCTGTTACTTCCAATAGAGTATAAGCTGCTGACCAGCATTCTCCAATTCACTCTGTCCTGGGCATTTATTTCTAGTTCTATCCAATTTTTGTTCATTCTCTCGTGTTCTTCTGCCTACATTTTCCACGCAATCTGTTTTATGGTCTTCCTCTTCTCCTAATTGGACGTTGAGGATTCCATGGGAGGGCTTGTCTTGTGACACAGTTAAGTGCTTTTCTCATAGTTTAGTTACTCAGTTATTCTTGTACGTCGGTCAATAATCTCATCATCTCTTTACTGGACACAACATAAAATTATCAATCAGTTTCCTTAAAGCGTTTTTAACTGTTTAAATCAATTTGGAATTTTTGGTTTCCAAATTCTTATTCTGTTCAAAAGTTTGCAAAATGATTATAAAGCCTTTGCACTACAGTGATTTGGTTGGAAATAAAACTGTTACCACACAGTTCACAACAAAATTACTGTCTATTTTACACAATAATATGTGAAGATCAATAATTATGCAAACGTTTATTGAACAGTCAGTCAAACTTCAATGAAAAAGTTGGGATCCATCACCATAGATTCCCAGCATCAATGACGTCGCTATACTGCATAGACAACTTCACTACCAACATTTATTTAAATAAAATAAAATTTAGTTATAGTTTGGTGAATTTAAATTATCTGAAACTCACAAGTAACCATATTAGTTATGGGTAAAATGTTTATTTATTTGTACCGATGGAAACAAATCTTCATTATAATAATATGAATCTTTTCACTGTTAGTCGAAGCAACAAAAGTAGTTTCCACAAACAGAGACAGTTCATCATAATTATAAGTGAGCCTTTATACTGCCCGGGTGTCCAGATTGAAGTAAGTGGCTTCCCTGGCGGAGCCGCACCCAGAGACTTTGACCTAAAGATCTGCCCGACAAGGAAGTGGAGCGTCGTTTGGAGATGCAGTTCTATGGTAGCTGGTGACTAACGATTGGTTCATACACCATTTCTTCCCTCAGAATACAGGAGCCCATTTGCACCATTGGTCCGTGATCCGGTTAAAGCGCCGAAGAGGATACATTATGTAGAGAGGTTACTTTAGAATAAATATATTCACTCTTTATAGGTAGATAGAAATTGTTAAACCTTTGCAGGAGCATTGTTGTCACAGTAACCTGTCTCGTGGACGCAGAGAGTTTACCTAAAACAGTTGAAAAACCCCGTTTTGAAAACCCAAGCAGTAATCAAGTGATCAGGCAAAGACTATATCTTATGACTACTTTTAATAGAGATGTAATTTTCGAACTACTAATTGTTATAATTTGTACCCTGCTTTATGTATAAGGTAATGACACGGCCAATTAGAGAACAGCAGCTCAAGGACGCATAAAACACGTAAGAACAGTCTAGACTTTTCGTGCCTCTCGGTATTCCTCGTGCTATTGATAGAAGAAATTTGACAATAAGTGAATAGGTCTTTATTTCGTTCTTTGCGCAGTCACAGTGAAGCGTGGGATTATCTGTTCACACAAACAAAGCCTCTCAACATTCCATAAAAGATAATAGGAAATACAACGCCTATACAAAATAAAGAAGTGAATGAATACTTGAAATATACTGTCTTGACACATGCTCAGTTGTTTGATGTGAACTCTTAACCCATCAACCTAAGCTGTTACATTTGCTTCCCCTTAGAATCGACTTCCGTAGGAACGTCAGTTCGACTAACCTATCTATCAACAACACTTTAGTTCTATTTTCACAGCCCAAAGGAAAATTTTCAACTCGCTCACTGTTTGACTTACAATCAATTACGAACAACTTCGTCGGCGATCGCCGCTAGTTCATAGGTGTCTCTTCATTTGCTAGCTTATTTTTGAAGCATGTGATTTCTTCTACAACTACAGCTGACGGTTTGCTACATGCTCGCAGAAGAAACAGTGTGAGAACATGGAATAAGAATATCTGATGAAGTGCAGCGAGCGGGCTACCCAACACGATGCTGGTGAGGCACGATTTTTCCATGCTCAGACCGGCTATCAGGTGTTTACTCACCTGCCTCTTGAGTCGCCCTCAAGTAAAAAGTAAAGAAGAATCTACTTCAAAGATAATGGTGAAAACCAATCAAACCTGGAGAACTGCTCCACTCTCTGCATACAAAATGGAG